AATTAATTATAATGAGTAATAAAGAAAATATAGTTTAATAAAAATATATAGAGAGAGAATGAATATTTTAAAATTTAATTTCTATTAGTAAAATAAATATGAAATTAGGAAGTGAGAGTATAAGAGATATTTCTTTTAATTAAATTATTAAGGATTGTATTTTAAATGAGAAGTTATTAAAATAGTGATATTATAAATGATAATCAAATCATAGTTAAAAGGAGGATAACAATTCTCTTAATTTAAAATAAGAACTATTTAAGTAAGCTTTATAATTAATTAGAGAGAGATATGATTAAATATAAGTAAAATAATCTTGTGAAATTATGTATTATTATAGGTGTTATTTTATTGAAGTCAGAGTAAGGACATTAAGAGCAAGTAATCTTAATCAAGATGTGTATGCATGTTTCTATATTATGGTAATTATATTGCTTCTAATTGTATTTTAATTGTTATTGCAAATAATTCATCTTACTATTTATTCTAACTGCATTGCAAATAATCTATCTCTCACATATTGAAAAATTTACCTTACTTTATTACATAAAGCATAAAAGTAATGAAATGATTAGATTTATATAATTGCATGTATATGTTGACTGATGGAGCTCACCCCTTTATGGTACTGACTGGGGACGTAATGTACTCATGTACGTAAAAAGAAAAAAGGTTATGAAAATGAAAAATGAAATGAAAAATGAGTACTTTCATTTATACTAAATTAGAATGGCTCCTGTGATAGTTGCATTATTTATGAGAAAGAAGAATGATATAGATAACGATATTGTATATGCAAAATATTGAAAGTATGCATAATATTGAATGTATTGAAAGGAAAATGGAATTACTTTATGATATGAATTAAAATGCTCATGCATATTGTTCCAAGTATCTTGGATTACAGTAATTGAGAAGCCTGTTTTACTCGCTTAGCTGTGGCTTACTCTTAGTTGTTCTAATATTTTCAGGTATAATTTAATATAATCAAAATGAATAAAATAGATGAAAATGTGTACCATAAATGTGGTGCACCGGAAAAAATGTATTTAAATCATTTTATATCAGTTTATATATTTGAAGTTTGACTCTTTTTCAGTATGTTGGAGATAGATTAAATAAATGAAAATCTAATCTACCGTCCAACCGTTTGTTCCCGCCTCCTTAATTAGAGCCTCAAGACTGGGTCGTGATAGAATATGAGAAGTTTCACCACCATCTCTACCACGCCTTGATAGTGGGGTTCACAAGATTAATTAGGCGGAATTAAGGGGTATTTAGGAGGGAAAACTCAAATAGAAGGGACTATTTTGGGATTACCTAACTATTGTATGCTTAAGTATGTTTGGTGGCTAGGATAAGGTTTTCATTTCTGTCTTTGCTGAAATTTTCTGGTTCTGAGTTTTTGTTTGGGCTTTAGCAACGTCTAGAGATTTGGGAGAGCCGGATCTTCCTCTCCAATAGAAGATACATTGTATTTTGTTTGTCTTATTATGTATTTCATCAATCTAAAGGCTATTTAGGTGTTTTGGCCACAAGATTCTTCTCCATCTCCGGTTCTATATTGCTAAAATTTTAATTTCAGCCATCAATTTCTGCACTGATTTCCTAACATAATAATTTTAATAAAGGAATAGAAAAGAAAACCTTAAAAAAATTACATAAATTGAAAATAATTTTATTAATTTTATATATTACAAATTAACATGTACTTTAGAATACAATGATATGTTTTTTTAATGATTTTCATGAAAGTTAGTATTTTGGGATATAATTAAACTTAAGCAATTTTGCTTTATAATTGGATATTACACAGCAACCCACCGCTTGCTGCACTCACACCCTGCCTCTGGCATCCGCTCCACTCCAATAACCTCTAATTGCCAACCCACACCTCTTTTTCTCCCCCTCTACCTCTGTTTCTAACTCCTCATCTCTCTCTCTTTTTCCCTTCTACGCTCTCTCCATCTCTTTATCTCTCTCCTATGTTTTCTAAAAAAAGCAGAGAAGAAAAAAATTAAAAAATCAGATATATAAAAAAAAATCATAATGGAAAAACCAAAAGGAGAAAAAAGAAATAAAAGAAAGAAAATATTTTTGTATTTTTCAACTTTCGCAATTTCTCCTCGTCGCTTTCACCTTGAACAATGGTATAATTTCTAAAAATCTACGAATTAAGTACCCACGCGTGTTGTTTTAATGCAGTGGAAAAAATCTGCAAACTTAAGTACCCATGCATGTTGTTCCAATGTAGATGAAATATTTGCCGAATAACTACTTGTGCGCGTTGTTTTAATGCTTAGGGGAAGTCATGCTTTTGCTCTTACATGTGATGAAGATCCCCCATATACTTTTAAGCGCATTGGGTTAGAAGAGCCTTGGTCGTGGTGTCGCATGACATCGATCATTCCTCTTCTTTATAAACAAATAATATAAATGCAATTTTCTTACTCGAGCGCATTATCTCGAGAAGTATGCCATTGTCTCGAAGGCTTTAAAATTGTCTCAAGAAGCATATCACCCTCTTGAGAAGTTTTTTTTCCTCTGGAAGTGTAATACTGGTTAAGAAGCATGCTATCAGCTCAAGAAGAATATTATGGACTTGAGAAACATGCCAACTTATGAAGTATGCAATAGCCCTAAGAAGCATACTTTTGCCTCAAAAATTGTTCCACTACATCGAAAAGCATGCTACTGGATTAAGAAAAATGCAACAATATCATGAACCATGCTATTGCCCCAAGAAATAAGTAATTGGCTTGAAAAATATGCCATAACACCCAAAAAAAAAAATGCATAGTTGCCTCTAAAAACGTGTAGTTGCCCAGAAAGGCACACTTTTGTTTAAAAAAAATAGTAAATGATGATTATTGAGAAATGTGTGAATATACTAAGTAAAATGTACCAAAATGCATGCAAGTGTATTGTATGAGCGTATTAAAAAATGCATAAATATATTGATAGCGTGCAAACGTGCTATGCAAGTGCATAGCATAGGTGCACAGAAAATCGTTCAAGAATATTAAAAGTATGTAAGCACATCATGCAAGTGCGCTAAGAAGTGCGTAAGTGTATCGTGTAAACACACTAAAAGCATGCACTTCATGTAAAAGGAAAGTAAAAAAAAAAAAAACTACATGTGCTTGGACAAATTTGCTAAATGTGGAAACATAAAAATGTGAATATTGCATTGAGTTAAAAATAAGCTAAACTAAAATTCCCTTTTAAGGTCTAAATATCTACTTGTGCTCCGATCAATACATCAAACTCTTAAATTTGATATCCTAAAATGTTGAGTGGGTTAGAATAATGAGCACATATTATACTCGATTCTTTGCCAGTTAGTAGAGTTGACAAGGTAAAAAAATAACGAAGCAAAAATATTTCAAAATCCTTAAAGATGGCCATGTTAAAAGAAAATTATAACCAGAGCTATTAATTTATAAAATTAGATTAGGTCAACTACTTCCTTTGACTAAAGTAGACCAGAGATCGTGACAACTCGGGACGGCAGAGCTAAGGGATTTTGATCAAATGCGTTATCATTCACATAACATCCGCTTTAAGTGTATGAGGAAAATTTTCAAATGTTAAAAATCCAAAATTGTTGCTACTATACGTTAGATACTTAGTTTTTATTTAACGATTAGTCTTAATTGAAAGTGTTCTAGCATCATTGGAGGGGTTAATTACTCAAAGTCCGCTTATATCTATAGGAAAACTTACCTTAGATCTTAAAGTTTTCTAAAAATGATGGCGAAATTTCTAGGTAATGTTTTATCTTAAGGAACATATTTGTTAAAACTCTTTTGAATGTCGAAACACTAGGCATGAATTTTTGGAGCCCACAACTCATAGGTATTCTTCACTTAAAGTGGGATAACATTAGGGAAATTTCAACACTCAGGAAAATCTTTCAACATTCATTCAACAATAAAAACTATATGAGGCATCACATGGGGTATGCATTACTAGTGAGCGGGAACTGGGACCGGGGAGATGACTGATTGAGATTTGTGCAAGGAGAATGGAACATTTGTAGTGGAGGAATTGAAAAATTGTATGTTGGTTAAAAGATCTTTAAGCAGTATTAATTTATATGCTTTTCAAGACAAAGGAAGATACCAACAACTTTATAAGGAACGAGATGAGGTTGGGGCTACCAATTGGGATTCAAAGGAGTTTAGTTTGATTCAGCTCTTGATAGATGTATGACACATAACATTTCACACTATATATGAGCTCACTTTTATGAATGTCACTCAAAAAATAAAATACATGGTAAAAAATATGGTTACATTAAATAAGAACTTTTAATGACTATGATGGTGATGACAATAGTGATACATACAATCATATAACATCCTCTCTTTAAAATTTTGAAACTAAAATATTCCAATAAAGTAAACTATTTGACTATTACCTGTTACTTCTCCTAATCTCAAGAGGTATCTCATATTGTTCTAAAACTTTACCTTTGTGCTTATTATTTTAATCTAACACCACCGGCTTTGAACCTGAAGGATTTCTCCATGGTAATGAAAACATTCTTCATCTATGATCGTTTTATTCCTAGAGTATAAATTTGATCCAAAATAGTTTGTTTGGGACTAATTGAGAATTTGAGATCAATTTTATAAGTCAAGTGACTAAATTGGGATTACTTTTTTCTTTTGTGCATTTCCCTTTTACATCAATTCATGTTTCTCTCTTTGTTCTTAGTACTCAATGGTGATTGTGCATGTGTCAGTGCATTTTATGGCTGTCCATTTGTGAAAGGAATCTCGGCTGACAGGCATAAATTTGCTAAGAAGCTTTTCCTTGTAACTGAGGATGGTATAGCCGTATAGGCGCTAAGTTTATCTTACTTCTATGTAATAAGCTTGACATTAAGCCCTTTTTCCAAGAGGCATATTTTCATCTATTTTCCCCGAGAAATATAACATTCTTGCATCTTTATTGATATATTAGTGATCTCATATTTCTTGCTTTTGTCACAGATAATTGGTTCTTGTACATAAATTGTGGAGGTAATGAAGCGTCTCTCTATGAAAACAATACTCACAAGATTTATGAGCAAGACAATGATGGTACTAATGGTGTTTCAACATTTCAATCGTATTCCAATTGGGCATATAGTAGCACTGGCTCTTTTCTAGATTCTAGAGATAACAACAACTTCATCGCAACGGCTACACAAAATCTCTCCATGCCAAACTCAGAGTTATATGCAACTGCGCGGCTGTCACCTTTGTCTCTCACCTATTATGGGTTTTGTTTGATAAATGGGAATTACAGTGTTAAGCTGCACTTTGCTGAGATAATAATCAATGATTATGATGGATATGTTAGCCCTGGAAGACGGATATTTGATGTTTACGTGCAAGTAGGTATAATATGGAAGAAATTAAAACTAATCTGTCTGTCTAAATAATTTGTTATATATGCTTGTGTTTATTTGTTTCCAGGGGAAACTTGTTTTAAAGGATTTCAATATCAGAGATAATGCTAATGGTTCAAACAAGGCAATTGTTAAAACCTTTCCTGCAGTTGTTACAAGGAAGAGATTGGAGATTCGATTTCAGTGGACTGGAAAAGGAACAACAACTGTTCCTGTAACCGGAACATATGGTCCTCTTATATCAGCTATATCAGTCGAGAGTATGTGCAGCTTGCGGAATTCTTTTGTATCTATTTCAGCTTAAAGTTCCATATATGCCATTTTTTGGTTCATGAACCATAATGAACAGTTTCCCACATTATTGTTCCATTGTTTGCCATTTATTTTGGTACACCATTTTTCAGATTAATGTCATCTTATGTCATTGAGCCTTTATAATTTTTTCTTATATATCAAATAGATGACATGGCATCATCATAATTTGCCTTATCCCAACTATTTGTTTTTGGCATTTTGAATCCTCATTTATCATACATATTGGTCTAGTATTATTAGAGGTGTTAACTCTAATGCCACTTATTGGGGGTTGTGCATCAAGCAGATCAAATTTAGGTTAGATGCACTAGTGATTAAACTAATTTTTTTTAACCAACAATCTCTTGCTTATAGGTGGGTGAATTATTGCATCCGATCACCTGACAGAGAGATATGTTCTGATTTCTCTCTGTCTACAGTAAAAGCGCAGTTACTGTAGCAGCTACGTTTTGACTGCGCTTTACTGCTGACAGAGAGAAATCCGAATGTATCTCTCTGTCAGGTGACCGGACCTAATAATTTGCCTTATAGGTGAGGCACAATTAGTTATTATTTTCAGATTAGTTTTTTTTAACTTATTAAATATAGGACTAATCCTAATTCCTATTAGATGGCTTATCATATTTTATGCTCATTTTTTTCTTCTTTCTGTAACATCAGAAAATCAATTTGTGTACCTGTTAATGTTACAACAACAACAACAGTATCAAGCCTTTGTCCCACTACGTGGGGTAGGCTACATGAATCCTTTTCTCCATTGTGTCCTGTTAATGTTGTTGAAGGTTATTTGTCCCAACATTGCTGTACTATTATCATTTTCATCTTTTCTTTCAGATTTGAATCCTCCAAATGAAAGCAATTCTTCTGCTCGTTTAGTGATTGGAATCACTTGTGCTGCAATTTTTGCTGTTGTCATTCTTGTGTTTTTTGCTTGGAAGAAAGGCTATTTCAGGCGGAAGAATGCAAAAGACAATGGTAATATAATATTTTATTTCGAGATGCACATTCATTTATACTCTTTTATTTCTTTTTAGTTATTGAAAGAAGGGTTAAAAGGAATGAATAGAGGGGGAATGATAGAGCCAGCCAAATGATAAGGAAAAGGTTCATGATGAAATGAAGATGAGTCAATAATTAATGAACTTTCTGCTGTAAATTAGGTTGTGACATTTTTTCTATCTACTTGCTATCCAAAGTACAACTGATAGTTAAATTTTCCTTAGGATCAACCTAAGGATTGTGATACTTCTTGGTATCCAAAATAACAAAATACTCTAAGAGATTCAACAAAAAATAGATTTTTATTGATAGAAAATCAAATATGAATAAATCAAGATACAATGGTCCTCTTTTGAGAGGATGACATTCTCTCTCAAATGCTAGACACCGCTAGGATCCCTCACACAAGAGAACTACAACACTCAAATTAAAATTCTGCATAAGAATAAAATAAACCCTTACTTTAGACTTAAATAAGTTTTCTCCTTCCCTCCTAAATCAGCCTTTGTCCTAATGTGCTTCCTGATAGGAAACACTTTTAGATCTCAAGTATTTCCTATCAATCTTCGAAAAACAACGAAAATTCTTCGCAAAAATCCACACAAAAACAGGAAAACAGTAGAAATATATATATTTGAGGAAATAGAAACGGAAAATGGCAAGATACAATTGATCCTCTATTTGAGAGGAGGATCGCTCTCTCCCAATCTCTAGACGCCGCTAGAGCCCAAAAGAAATCAAAGAGATCTCAAAATTCAGCCAAATTCAAGATGCCCTAACTCTAGGAAAACAAGGTATTTAATGCATACAAATTAAAAGGAAATCCCTAAATAGTCCCTACATTCAAACTTCCCTCCCAAATCCCTTAAAAATCCTTCCTAAATTGCTCAGTGGACGTTGGCGGTCAGTCGGTTGCGGAAAAGAGGCGGAGGCAGTCCGCCTCATTCGTGCTCCGGCCGGTCCCACGTGGATCGGCTGGACCGATCTAACAATTCCCTCCTCTATTTGAAAATCGATTAAGAAAGGATTTCCTAATTGATTCCCTCCTAACATAATATTTTAATTCTCTATTGGGCCCCACTTCCTCATCTGACTCCCTTTCTCTGTCCGTCAGCCCCACTTGGGCTGAAGTTTGTTGGACCGGGCAGTCCAGTGGCTCCCGGGTTTGATTTGTGCGAACCCCTACTCCTTTCGCCGTATCAATAAATCGCCGTATCAATACTCCTCCCCAAAAGTCCCACCTTATCATCGAGGTGGAATGCAGGGAACTGCTGCTACATAGTTTGGTAGGACTCCCACGAGGCCTCATGCTCTAGTAGGCCCTTCCACCTTATCAATAAATCTTTGCTTCCCGTTACTCCTGGTTGCACTCCTTCGACATCCAGTTGTTCCAACAACACCTCTATGTCCTCTGTCAAGGTCGAGGGAAGTGTAGAGAAAGGAATGTGCTCTTCTATCACTCGCTGCAATTGGGAGGACATATGAAACACCGGATGGATGGTTGTCGATGGTTGTAATTGTAGGTGATAAACCACAACCCCTATGCGCTCTACTATCACGTAAGGACCAACATATCGGTGGGATAACTTATAACTTCGTCTCCGTGACAGGGTTTTTTGTCTATAGGGATGAAGCTTTAATTAAACCTTGTCCCCCACCTCAAACAGTATGTCTAGCCTATATGCATCTTCTTTCTTCTTCATAATTTGTTGAAATCTCAGCAAATGTACCTTCAGCTCCCCCAAGATCTTGTCTTTGTCCTCCAAGTATTGTTCTATCGAAGCCACCAGTGTGCTGCCTTACCCATAGTATATCAAGCGAGGCTAATCTCGTTCGTATAATGCCTTGAACGGTGTAGTTATTGCCGGCGAATGATAAGACTTGTTATACCAATACTCTGCCCGGATTTGGCCCCCAAATTGGGTGTATTTGATATAAAGCACCGTAGATTGGTCTCCACACTATGATTGCCTACCTTTGTCTGTCCATCCATCTGAGGATAATAAGCAGTGCTTCTATTAATAAGGGCGATCCCTTGCAATTTGAACAATTCCTTCTATAACTAGCTTAGGAAGATCTTGTCCCTATCTGATATAAACGATTACGGGATTCCATGTAGTCTCACCACTTTCTTCATAAAAATCATTGCTACTGATACTGCTGTATAGAGGTGGCAAAGGGAGATGAAATGAGCATATTTACTCAATCTGTCCACTAAAACCAATATTGTCTTGTAACCTTCTGACTGGCAGGCCTTCGATGAAATTCATGGTCACCTCCTCCCACTCCTTTTCCGGCAAAGCTAATGGCTAGAGGATCCCTCCTAGAGACAACTAAATACTTGTGCCTCTAGTATATATCACAGCTTGTCACCAATTTCTCAACATCCTTTTGCAACCCCTCCCAATACTGCTCAGCATATAACCAGTGATGTCTTTTCTGCCCCCGAATGTCCCCCAATGGCCGTCCCATGAAACTCTTGCAAAAAGCAGGGAATGAAAGAAGAGATCTTTGGAAGCACAAATAGCCCATCATAAACCAACTTCTGTCCCACCACTAAATATCTTGAATGGATGTCCTAGTTTACTGCCAGCTCCTCCCTAATTTTCTTCAGGCCTGCATCCATTTCACTCTCTCTTCTCAGTGCTTCCTAGTCAACTACCACAGGCACAGATAATGTCATCATCTGGGGTTCCCCCATACACCTAGATAACTCATCTGCTTCTTTGTTCTCCACTCCGGGTCGGTATTGGATTTCAAAGTCATAACCCAATAACTTGGAAAGCCACCTTTGATGCTCCTCAATGACCATTCTCTGTTCCAACAAATACTTTAAACTTCTCTAGTCAGTTCTGACAATGAAATGTCTTTCGAGGAGATATGGTTGCCATTTCTAAATGACCAGCACAATCGTCATCAGCTACCTCTCATAGGCTGACTTGAGCTTGGCCCTAGCTGTCAAAACCTAACTTAAATAAACCACGGGTCTCTTGTTCTGCATAAGTATCGCTCTTATCGCAAAGCTCGAAGCATCTATATCCACAAGAAAAGGCTGTCTAAATTCTGGATTGGCTAAGGCTGGCACAATGGTCATAGAATTTTTCAACTCCTCAAAAGCTTTGGTGACCGATTCTCCCCATTTGAAGTTGTCATTCTTATGTTGTTCTGTCAATGCTCTCGCTATTGATTTGTATCCCTTCAAAAACTTTTGATAGTAGTTGGTGAGTCCTAAGAATCCTCTCAACTCTTTTTGATTATTGGGTATGGGCCATCTGAGCATGGCCACAATCTTATTTTGGTCAGCAACTACTCCCTTCTGAGATATCACATGCCCTATGTACTCCACTATGGATTGGACGAAAGAACACTTCTTTTTATTGTCAAATAAGGAGTGCTTCCTTAAGGTCGACATCACAACTCCAAGGTGCTCCCCTTTGACCTACTGTAAATCAATTTATCGTTAAAAAAAAAACATAAATCTTCGCAACTAGGGCTGGAATACCCTTTCATCAGGGACTGGAAGGTGGTCTGTGCATTAGTGCGCTAAGGAGGGGGTACTCCCTCCTTTAAAACAATAGAGTGCTAGTGTTCTCGTAGGGGTGGTAGTCTCTGCGGAAGCTAAAATATCTCCGTGAACTGCTGAAGCAAGGGTTGGACAATGTCTGGGTGTCCTCTTCACCCTCAGTCTCTCCTCCTTCCAAACTCAAGAGCTCCACCAAGAATCCCCCTCTTTCCCCTTGAAGGGTACGCACCATGGTTTTCAATGAAACCATTGTCTTAAATAAGTTGGGGTCTCCCTTCATTACCACCTTTCTCACCTCCAACTGAATCTGCATAACCAAAGCCTTCCAGTTCTCGGTTTCCCCATTTTATGCCCAAAATCAAGTCGGTAATTCCCAACTCTAATGGAGGGAAATCCTCCTTGATGTGGATCCCGTCTAACTCTATGATCAAACCCTGACATATCCCTCTGTTCATCTCTACTTTTTATATACCCATCATCAATCCAAACCCTCGCGTGTTTATCAGTTTCAGCCCCAGTTTATCTACTACCTTGTTCGATATGAAGTTGCGGGTTAGCCCCATTATTTGCCAGGATTTCCACTGTCTCTCCTCCTATATGTCCCATTACCTTTATAGTATGATTTAGGGTGAATTTCACTACAGGGGTCAATGAAACTTTTGCCACCTCCAAATGCACGGACCCCTCTTCCTCTTCTTCAATTTCTCTTCTTCATCCACCTCTTCCCCATCACACATAATGAGAACTTGCAATGTGCAATTTTTACACTAATATCCTGGTGTAAATTTCTCGTCTCATCTAAAACATAGCCCTTTAGCTCTCTTGTCTTGTAATTTAGTATTAGTCAACCTCTTGAGATCTTCTCTCGGTTGGGCTCTCGAACTGCCCTCCTTTGGCGTTTCCCTTTTAATTGGTACGGCTTGCACCGTAGATATCAGGAAAGTGGTTGTAGTGCGGTAAGAACCTCCTCCACTTCCCCCTTTACTATTCTTCTGTAGTGACTTCTTGTTCTCAATCATTTGTGCCAACTCCATTGCCTCTCCCATATCATGGGGTCTTGCCACCCGTATTGTCGCCCTCAACATTGGTTTGAGGTCTTTCATGAAGTTGCTTTCCAATACTGCCTCTAATAACCTCCCCACTCATCCTGATAGAAGCTCAAATATTTCCCGATACTCAATCACAATGCCATCTTGTGTCAAGGTAAAGAATTTCTCATAAGAATCCCCATCTTGCTGGGCTTGAAAGCGCTCCAACAAGCGTTCCTTAAACTCATCTCACGAACAGATTGTGTAGATCGCCTCTCGTCATTGGTACCATGCTATTGCCTTCCCTTCCAGACATAGAGTGGCGGCCATCAGTCTCTCATCTTCTGTCAACCCGTTCATTCTAAAATATTTCTTCACCCTATATATCCACCATTGTGCGTCATTCCCTTGAAATACATGCATTTTTAGATTTTTAATCTTATGATCCCCTACACCCTAATGTTCCCTTCTGCCCCCCATACCTCCTATGGCACGAGCATTGTGTTCCCTCTACGGTTCCCTCTATTCCCTTCTCCGTTCATATCACTTCCTTCACTATGTGGGGTCGGCTACATAAATCATTTTTCTTTATTTTGTCCTGTTAAGAGAACCAAGCCTTTTTAAATATACCTCTACCTTTCTTAACATATGTCAAATCTAATACGTGTACTTTCCTATCTGTTTCATTAGAAGGCTGGCGTTTTATGTGACAAAACCATCTAAGATGACTCTCCCTAATCTTATCTTCCATTGGAGCTACTCCAACACTTGACTTAGTATTATGCTTCTCTTTTAATGACCAACATTCTGCACCATAAAGCATTGCCAGTCTAATCTCCATCTTATAAAAATTTTCTTTAAGTTTGAGGGAGATTTTTCTATCTCACAACAAGCTCGATGCATTCCTCCACTTTAACCATCCAACTTGAATTATACTAATAATATCCCCATGTAGTTCATCATCACTCTGAACAATAGGCCCAATTTATCGAAAATGTGTACTCTTATTAATGACTTGATCACCCATAGTCACAATCTTCCATTAGATCTATTATTATTAAAACTATAGTTCTTGTATTCAGTTTTAGATCTACTCAAACAAAAGCCTTTTAAAGTCTAAAGTTAACCTCCTTATTTCAAGTTTACATTCAAGTCCCTCTCTAGTCTTAACAACAAGAATAATATATTCAGCAAAAAGCATACACTAGGGTACAACCTCTTGCAAATGTTTAGTGAGAACATTAATGACTAAAATAAAAAGATATGGGCTTAAGGTTAATCCTTGATGTAATCCAACTGAAATAGGAAAATATTTGGTCAAACTATCTTGTGTTTGAACACAAGTAACATCTCGTGCATACATATCCTTAATGACTTGAATATAAGCATTATTAATGCCCTTTCTTTTCTAAAAATCTCCATAGCACTTATATTTGAATATTATCATATGCTTTCTCTTAAGTAATAAATATCATATGTAGATCATCCTTATTCTCTCTATACTTCTCCATCAAACCTCTCAATAAATATATAGCTTCCATAGTAGACCTACCCGGCATGCATCCAAATTGATTTTGAGAAACATTAGTATCATGCCCCAACATATGATGTGTAACTCTCCCCCATAGTTTTAAAGTAGGACACATTAACTTAATTCATCTATAGTTTGCACAATCTTGTGTATCACTTTTATTCTTAAAAATATGAATCAACACACTTATTCTTCACTCATCTTGCATATTTTTAGTCTTCAAAATAAGATTACTAAGTTTAGTAAGCCCAAAAATTCCTTTATCTTCTAAGCATTTCTACACCTCTATTGGAATATGATTAAGTCCAACAGCTTTTTCACACTTCATTTTATTTAAGGCATCTCTAACTTCAGTTTTACTAATACACTGATAAAAATAAAATCTTTATTTTCATTTAGAATGTTAATGTCACCAAAGTCAATCATACTCTCACAATTGTTATTAAAAAATTTTACAAAATATCTCATCCACCGCTGTTGAATATCTTTTTCAAATAAAAATATTTTTTTATCTTCATCCTTAATACACTTCACTTGAACTAAATCCTTATTAATTTTATCTCTTAGTTTGGTATAGCTTCCTCTCATTCAAAGCCTCTTAGGTTCAAAAGGAGGGAGCGAATCGCGGTTATTTTCTACGAGGAGTCACTTTTTTTCTCCCTCTCACACGTTCCTTCGCTCAATGGTGTGATTCGGTTTTCTGCCAGCCCTTCCCGCACCCGATTGTTTCATTCGCCTACCTCACCCATTGTTGTTGTTTTATTAACTGTCCAATTCACTTGAACCGGTCAGACCGGTTCTTACATAATGCGCCTCATGGAAAATGAACTGTTAATTTCAATGATATGGTTGATGCTTTTCCTGAGCAACTACTATTCCAACTTGTTTTGATTGTCATAGAGCTAGTTAGTTGTTTACGAACAGCAGAGTGAATTGCCCCAGCAGTGAACTGCTGTTTGGCAATAAATTATTTTTGAGTGCAAAGTTTATGACAGCCTTGTCTATAAACAGCATGATTTGAACTAACAGCAATGTATCTTGTAACATCTAGCAGAAGTTTCACTGAAAATCCATGATTAAAGCTTAATGTTTTAAAAAAGTTATTATGGACATTTTGAACCATTTCTATGGTCCAAAGGCTAGCATGAGGGTGGGGACAGGGGGCTATGCTCTCCTCAAACCCTACTAGAACAACCACACACCCATGGCTACCACTACAAAAAATAGAAAATTAAAAAAAAAAAATCAAACATAAAGAAAGATATCATGGATTCCAGTTTTCTCCAAATACCATGATAATGCATGGTGTAATATTACCTTAGGCCCTATCATCCAATCCATTTCAGTGACTGGGATTATTCCAACATGCATTTTCAAATGTACTCGAATTTTGTTAGACTAGATCTTGGTTACTCAAAATGAATTGAATTGCTCAATGTGGGTAATTACATCAGACAAGGACAATGATAATTGGAGAGGGTCCGAATCCCAATATTATTGCTCAATTTGCTTGCAAAACATTGTCAAAAGCATACCTACATTATCAGGCCCGTTCCTCCAAGTTCCTGCATCTCAGCAGAACTAGTTAATATCATGTTTTTTTCCTGTGAGGATGAATGCGTCATCAATTTACTTGTCAGCCTGCAAACTTCGTGAGGTTCTCCTGTTTTTGGACAGATCTGAGGGGTCTGGAAACTATCTCCTTTTCTCTAAGGCAAATTCAAGCTGCTACTAGCAACTTCAGTTCTTCTAACAAGATTGGTGAAGGTGGTTTTGGATCTGTGTACAAGGTTTATGCAAACTCCTATTTTTCTGATTTTGGAAAGTTAAAATTAGAGCTGCCCATATTTATTTCAATTATTTTCCTGGTTCAGGGCCGGTTAGCAGATGGTACTGTAATAGCTGTGAAGCAGCTTTCTTCAAAGTCAAGTCAAGGAAATCAGGAATTTGTAAATGAGATTGGCATGATTTCTGCGTTACAACACCCAAATCTTGTAAAGCTTTATGGATGTTGCATTGAAGGAAATCAGTTATTGTTAGTATATGAATATATGGAAAATAATAGCCTTGCACGTGCTCTTTATGGTAATGGTGCTCATTTGTGTGTTTAGCATTTGAAGCATATAATTGTTTTGTTAAAACTATTCTACTATTCTCTTAATTGTTATCATTATTACTTTAATTCAGTTTTTCATTGTTTTTTCACATTTGTTGGTTACTGCATCATTCTACATTGAAGAATTTATTTACTCATGTTGTAGGGCCAGAACAATATCAGTTGAAGCTAGATTGGTCCACAAGACATCAAATTTGTGTTGGCATAGCAAGAGGTCTTGCTTACCTCCATGAAGAGTCGATGCTGAAGATTGTTCATCGAGACATAAAAGCTACAAATGTGTTGTTAGACATTGATCTAAACCCCAAAATATCAGATTTTGGATTGGCAAAGCTTGATGAGAAGGGAAACACCCATATTAGCACGCGGATAGCTGGAACAATGTAAGCCATTACAGCAATTATTTCTCTGATGTTCTGTTTAGTTTGAAGGAATTATTAGGAATTTAGATTCATTTCACTTTATAATTTCTAATTATTTGTTTTGGTTCTAAGGTAATTTTTAAGTTTTTCGATTTAAATAGGTAATATGGACAATTACTTTTTTTCAAAGATAATTCCTTTCTCATCACTGGTGAAAAATGAGAAGAATAATTTTGTCAAATCATCATTAAGACGTTATCCTCTCAATAGAAACCAAATATCAATTTCTCATCAAACAAACAAGTGGATGAAAACCAATTTCCTCAATTTCTTTATCATTTGCATTTTCATTTCTTTTTTCATTTCGTCTCTTCCTATTCCTTCAAACCAAACTGAGCCTAATTGACGAGGTATTGTTTGCATCAATATTTGACATTGTAAACATTGCCTAGCGACTAGGTCCTTTTAGTTGGTGCTTCATTTTAATAGCATATTGGGAAATTAAGGACTTTAATATGATAGAAAAACATTTTTTGGCAAAAAATTTTGTTGTAGAATTTTTAGCATTTTACTTTTGGACGCAATGTATTTCTCATGTTGTAATTTAAGTGCCAAGGTTTTCTTTAACTTTTTCTCATTCTTTATGCTATCTTGGACTCTATGAGAATAATACTGTTTCAATTATACTGTATGTTCAGCTCAAACTAACATAACATTCTCCTTTTTCTACTTTATTGCAATCTCCTTTATGCCTGTTAAAGCTAAACATCATAGTTTCACATCCAGACAACAAAATATTTGTGTTTAGTTAGATGAAATGTAGAATTAAATTCTATAATAAAGTTGCAGAGAAAATTATAGGAATTGCTTGTTAATAAATGCCATCGACCTTATTTTTATTCATATCATGTAATATCAACAAAGTGTCTTCTAAATTCTTATTAAATGATTTTTTTCTGTAGATGCATTATTTATAATCTACTAATGATATGAATACAATATGAAACAAATATGATAATTGTCGAAAGAAAAGTAAAATCAAATAATAAAATTAAAGATAATGTGATAACATAGATAGAACAATCTGTTAATAGGAAAGGGAAAGTACATAAACTCTTAATTACAATGCCTTGCTTTAAGCCTAGTGAATGTTGGAGAGTAATGGTGTTTTTTTCTTATTTCTATCTTGCTTGGAAAATATGATTTCGAATTTTCTATTCACTAGTGAGTCATGCTCAGAAAAATCCCATTATAATCATAATGATGTTCTAATACATTGTCGTCGATGTCTTCAATAATAGGAAGATAAATGTTCATGCTTGCAGATTATAAGGTGACTAAATTCTTAGGGCTAGTAGGGACGGGTACAAATGTCTTTGATTCAAATGAAAGGTCTAAATTTTAAATCATGAGTGCATGCCTATTCCGAAGTAAGAGGAGCTATAATTGTCATGTTAAGGGTAGAATTTATGTTTGTTCCTCTTGTTCATGGATGTTTGATTTCCTCTATTCCGGTTGAGCCTTGAAACATTTTGAGTAGTTGTGCTAAAAATTTTTGTAACCAAAATAATAGGAAAGAATATCTTCAAATTCTACCTTCCTCTAATAAATGCAAGATGAGAAATCAATCTACATCTCATTTTCAGCCATTTTTATTTTTCTGGAGACTTACCTGAAAATGTTAGTTTAATGGGTTGAGTTTATATGGTAACTCAGTGGGTAATCTTTTTATATATAGCATTTAAACATGTATAAAATATAATGCATGTTCTTTTTCTCATTTCTTATACAATATTAAAACTTATATAACATTTAATATATGTATAATTGTATATGCATATAACATTTAGTATACATATTTTTATATTATTTTCCATTTCATTCATTCATTCATTCCTTGATACCTTTCATATACGTTTCATATCGTATACATTTCATAACAAAATATTTATTCATTTTCCAATTCAATTAGTATAGAAGTATTTTCTAAATGTACCTATAAAGGTACAACCATTTTCATTTCCGTTTCCATTTTTATTTAACATGCACAGATATATTGCTTCCCCAACCAATACCATATTATTGACCTCTAAAGAGAAGCAAAAAAAAAAAAAATCAAATAAAAAATATATTAAAAAAAACCCATCAAAATCCCTACCTCTGCCACAAATCTTGCAAAATCCCGCCATCTGCTGTAATGCCCATACCCTGTACATTCGGCGCCATTTCGAACAGGGCACGCGCAAGATCCCGCTTAATTCTATCGCACACGAGCAGTTACACTCGCGAGTTAAAAGCTTCATCACAGCCAAACTCGCTTCTTCCTCTCGCGTAAAATCTCCTCTACTCTACCGAGCATGTACCGAGCAGTATCGAGCATGTACCTAGCAGTACCGATAATGTACTGAGCGGTAATGAGCATATACCTAGCGGTATCGAGCATGTACCGAGCGGTACCGAGAATGTTCTGAGCGGTACTGAGTATGTACCTGCTCGGTATCGAGCATGTACCTAGCAATACCTAGCGGGACCGAGCATGCAAATTAGCTTTTTTCTTAATTTTTAGAGGCAGACGCCTCTCAACTATGAGGCAAGGCGTGCCTCAGTAAACTTGAGGCGTACGCCTCAAATCATAAACTCATTGTGTGAGCTTTAAGGCTTAAAGGGGCGAAATTGTGCTGAGGTGCACCTCTTATTACATAGTTTTAAACCATGGTTGGAACGCATCAGACAATCACCCTTATGTAATATGCCACACTTAGCACAAGCTTTTATGACTTTACTGGCAGTTGCATTACTAACTCCACTAGGGTTAAAGTTAGGCTTCTTTCAATTTGATCCTTCAATCTAATTGCTTTGGATATCTTCTTTAACATTCTTGCTTTAATGATGGTCCCTTATCTTCTGAGTGATTTGAAAGTTAATATCTACCCTTTTTGCTCTTTCTACCAACTTGCTCTTTCTACCAATATTGAATAATCCTCAATTTCTAAAGATACTAAAGGTTATCTAATTGCATCTTTTAGACCAGATAGGAATCGATAATATTTCTTCTTTGATGTTGCAATCAATTGCGGTGCATATCTAGATAGAATTGTTAATTCTTCTTCGTATTGCATCACTGATTTGTCTCCTTGTACTAGTCTTATGAATTTGTCCTGCATCTGCCTCCTTGTTGATATAGGTACGAACCATTCTCTAAACAGTTCTACAAAGTCTTCTTAGTTGACTAGTAAATTTGGAGTATCTCTCAGCCTATCTTCGCGTTGTCCTCTCTGTGGGTCTCCGAAAGAATTCTGCTCATCGTAATTCGAATGCAAAGGGTACGATCACACTATCCCTTAGGACAAAATGGTCGTAGGCCTTTACAATCGACACAAGCAGGCCGATGGAAGAGCAGATGGAGTTATACATACGATTAGCCATGGAGGATAGCGGCTTTCATTTACACACCTCAATGGATAATAATATGCATAACCCAAAAGTTCACGAGATTTCTCCTATTCGATACATCAGCATCGAATAGAGTTTCCTACGGGGCTTGGCGCAAGCCCCCGTAGTTAATTACATCTTAGACCTCGATCTAAGAAAACTCTCGATTAAGGACGTTAGATTATCTTCTCTAATGGGTTTAGTGCAAAGGGAAAATTCTAGGCTTTCCTAATCAAAGGGGCACACGTGGTTCAGTCATCATCCGGTTGGCTCGAAGAAGTGGAAACTGAAGAAAAAGAGAAGACACAGCACTCAAACATACATGATAGAAAGAGGGAAGTGGCGTCACCTGTGCGACACGGATGGGCAGGATTTATAGCTTTCGAAAGAATGAAGAGCTTACCCACCAATAAGGCGTATAGTGGTACACTCGTACCACTCACCTTTAGACCATAAATCTATAAAAGATATAGTGTCATACACATGACACTAACATCTACGTCCTAACTAATGCAATCGTGGACTTATTCCTTGCCTAAAAAGGAAGCCAGCTAAAACCACCTAATCGTATAAAATCCATGTTATCCGGTCCATATGAAAGATGGGAGGGTAGTTTAGACATTGGAGTTTGGGATCGACAACTAGAGAAGTTCCTAAGTGATCCCACACTTATGAGTGGTATAATGCTTCTAATACTAATGCGATTAAATTTTAATTTTAATTAGTTGTTAATGCAGTTTATACTAGTCAAAATCTCCAAATCAGGAATGTATGAAATTTAAAAAAGGCTTATAAAAAATAGTTTTTAGAATGACTAAACTTCCCCCAGTCCGGCACTTCATCCTCATAGGCCAGATTATCCGGACTCTACCCGCAGGCGGGGAAGTTTGTCTAAAAGAAGAGAGAATGCGTGTATGCGCCCCTGGACGATTCCGGCTATTCCCTAAAATCGTTATATTTCTATGTGAATTAATTCTTAAAATTTTATTTAATAATTACGAGTACAATAATTTTTATCCCTAAAGAGCCTAACGGTCAGGCACAAGCACATGCAAGAAAGAAACCTATAAAGAGCATGCCAGTTCTACTGCGCAAACAAAGTAAACGAAAAACACAATAAAGCAACAAAATCCCACAAAAAAGAGTGTCCATGGTAAGTGCCATATAATTTACAATCACAGAGTACAGAAAAGTAATAGGTGGCCGGCTCCACCGATCAACAACCCGGGAAGACGCAAACTTAAAAATAAGGCATTTTACATCTTCAGGCTTTGTTTGGGACTGTTTTTTAATCTTTCTAAAAACAGAGATTTTAGTACAAACTAAAAATTTTGTACTAAACTCCGTTTTAAAAAAGCAGTAAAAAAGTTGTCGCCTAAAACGAAGCTAGTGTACCAATACCTAGCAATACCGAGCAAATCCTAGCAATTACCTCGAGCAAAAATCTTGAGGCAATATATTGGAGTTGTGGCCGAGTTGTACCAGAATTTTCTAGCAATACGAGCAAATCCTGAGCAAATACTCGAGTTTGTTACCGAGTTGTAAAAAAAACATTGGTAACAAACTCGGTATTTGCATGAAATACTTGG